GCTATCATATAAACATGGCATGTTAGATCAAGCACTGTATAGCAAATGAAATATTACCTTTAGATTTTTCCAGAAAGTTTTAAAGTTGCAAATTTTGAAGGTGTAATGATAAAATTGTTAAACGTATCCAGAGAAATTAAATGTATCCATCAGCACAAAAAAAACCAAATGAAAAATTATATTTAGTTTATGAAGAATTCAGCATGCATCAAGCTGCAGAGGTAGATATGAAATGCTACACAGTTGAGGCTAGTGACGCACATAATGAAAGTGTGTGTGTGTGTGTTTCAGAATATAATACAAACAAAACCTAAATTACCAATTCACTAATAGGTCTGGAAGTGAGTCATACAGAAGATCTAGTATGTAAACTTATTTCTTTGGTTCCAACATCAGGGGTCAGATAGTGTAGTTAGTAGCATTTTCACCTTAGAAGTCTTGCTGACTTCAGTTAGACTTTTATCTGAATGAGAGCTGCAGGACTTGACTTCAGATGAAAGCATTACACAGAACATGTTAATCTGTTTATTTTTAAGTGATTTTTAGTAATTTGTATCAGTGTTTCAAAAAGACCTTCCACAAAGACAAATACAAAACACCCAGCAAATTTGCAAGTTTGCAAAGGTACTATGCATACTGTGTCCTCATTAGTATACAAAGCTGCAGGGCACACTCAAGCTTGCTCAGAGATGTTAAACGCAACATGAAGTAATTCATGACAATATATAGATGATGAACAATTTCTTGGTAGGCATGGAACAGCATTTACCTTTAAAGTATTAATTTTATGCTGGCATGTTGGGTATTACAGCTAGTTAGAAAGATTTATATTTAAAATTGATTAATTAATTAATGGAATTAATATTTAATTAATTATAATTGCAATTTCTTTTTTATAGCCTTTCTATTCCCTTGCTTTGATAAGTTGATGAACTCAAATGGTAGAGAAAAGACCATGATACAAAAATCCAAGAAGAACAAAAAATGATTATAAAGAGAAATCTCTATAAAAAGAAAAAATGTTTTACTTCAGTAACAAAATTAAGCAAAATTTTGAACTTAAATGGAGCTAATTCTAATTTAAAAATTGAACTGAAATGTATTTACTTCAAAATGAAAGGCTGACTGATGTAATTCCCACTGTTTTTCTATATATTGGTTTTTGGGTTTTGTTTTTTGCTTTCTTGCTCTTAGTGACAGTTACCCAACTAATTCCTGCACTATGTGACCAAAAGGTATTCTGTAGGTGTGTCTACATGTACTCATTTACTGTACAGTAACCAAAATTACTCTGCAGAATGGGTGCATGTCTACACGTGCATGCCTGTACTGCACTGTAAATATAGTGACTTATGCTGAATTGAGCCTAAATTTGATACCTGCATCATGCAGGTATCAAATTTATGCCCAATTAGTTACTGCACAGTAATGCACATTTAGATGCCTTACTGCGCAGTAACAATGTGTGTGTGGACTGACATGGGACTCAAGTTAGTCCCACGTCAGTCTGCACACAGCGTTAATATGCTTTAATACCTGCACATGTAGACGCTGGTCTATCCCTGCTTACTGCACACTAACTTACTGTTAAGTAAATTTAAACCGACGTAAATTCTCGTGTAGACATGCCCTGTGTGTAGGATACCATCTTGGAATGCCTGTTGCATTAGGGGCTAAATTTTCAAAACCAGGCTCTAAATTTGCAAGTGTATGTTTTGACATGCAGGTTTGTTTATATAATATTGATGCTAATGTTACAAAGTTTAGATTTGCCTGCACAAGGAGCTTTTCTAAACACCTAACTACGTGGAAACTAACTACCTGTGAACATTTGGCATAAACTGTCTTTAAAGCCAATGGATGATTTTCTCTATTTCTGTAGCCAAGGGACCTTAGAATTGGGAATGCTGCCACCAGGGAATCAGTGCTTTACCTGTGGCTTTGGCAATTTTATGTGTGTGTATATAGGCTGGAGGTAGAGGAGTAGGAGCTGCCACCTGTGGCATTCTTTTTTTCATAGGCAATTAATATCTCATTAACTTTGTTTTTTACTAATGCTGCTGAAATCACTTATAGCTCAGGCTCTGCACTAATTTCATAATGGATTGCTTGTACAGGTATAAGTGGAGGTGACTGCAGGGTCTGTGGAAGGTGGGAATGAGCCAGAAAAGTTGCACAGTATGTGTGACCCTTTAGGACCTGTGTGGCCTCTCTAAGTACTGTGTATTAGAGGGGTCCACATCCCACATGATAGTCTATGAATCCTAAAAGTCCTTCCTCTGAAAGAAAGTATGAAGGAAACTATTAGATTAATCTGAAGCAGCACCCTGGCTCCTTGGTTCCCTTCCCATTTCTGTCACTGCAGGAAAGGGGATAATTTGGGTCCACATTAGTAAAGTGACTCATTTTGTTTTTAAAGCTGTTTTATAATTTCACTGGGTTGGTCCAAGATTAGCATTATTATTCTATAATGGCACTTTACGTGGGCCTTAAGAGATGAATCTGCTTAGCCATGCTAGTACTTACTGAGTAAAAATGCTACTGTGAATCGATAGATTGTATTTATAGGCAATGGGGCAAAATTTTAGATGGTATAAAAATACTAAAAACTGAACATTTACATGCTTTCAAAGTAGTGAGCCTGCAAAATCATTTTCTAATTGTTCCAAAGTTTGAAACAAAGGAATATCATTGAAGATGAATAACATGATTTTTACTTCAATTTCTGTAGTAATCCCCAGACTTGGGGTTTTTGTTTTTTAATATCATGAAAGTTTTAGAAACATAAACAGTACTGAATTGCCACTGGTACTGAGTAGTAGGGCTTTTATTGTTGCCTGGGCTTTTCAAAATAGTCAAGTAAATAATTTAATTTGTATGATTAAATAGAAGGTTACTAAAGAAGACTGTGTTCAAATCAGTTAAAATTTTCTCAGTATCCTTAATTTGTTAGTAAATTCAATATATTGTATTTAAGCAGAATCATATATACAGTATATTAACTTTTTCAGGCAATCTTTACTCAGCATAGAAAGGCCAGATGTATGGGAATTGTAAAAAATCAGGATATGCATAAAAACTGTTCAAGTGCATAAAGCAGCCCCATCTGGAAGACATCTAACAGAAATGAAGTTGTACAAAACCATTCCATTGATAATAAAGCTAATTTTTATGGGTCTGACAAGTATGTAATTATGTTCAGTGGTGCTTTTCAGATTTTATCACAGTCAATAAACCGCAGTGGTAATTTCATTCCCATTTGACATATTTACATGGAAACATTTGATTGGAGGAATTAGTAACCCTGAAAGCCTTGATAGATATGTTTTAATGATCTGTGACCTCCGCAGTCCCTCATCTGTTTATTGTTGCAACAGGCGAGAAGTCGTTCCTATGTGACCTTTGTGGCTTTGCCGGCGGGACACGTCATGCCCTCACCAAGCATCGGAGGCAGCACACAGGTCAGTAAAGCTGTCTTTACCCTTTGGTATTTTTTTTTCCACCAAGGGAATAACATTCAGACTAGGGAATTAAGCAAGTCAAATAGTACATTATAGAACAAATAATATATTGCTTCATTGTTTGCTTTGCTGTTTTCATTTTTGTAAACACTGTATAACAAGAGTCTACATTAAATGCAGTTAACTACATGTTTTAATAATTTCTATATATTTAAGCAAGGTAAAATGGTAAAGTTCTGAGATATACTTTAAATTAATGCTAAGTACACTAAAGACTTTTTTCAAGGCCCAGAAGATTACGCAGTGTGTGAAGCTTTTGCAAGAATCTTTCTGACGTGTCTCTGGGTGAAAATTAAGGACCGTATTTAGATGAATCCATTATTTTGGATTGAGTCGTAGTTCAAAGATAGCAAAGCTACAGTTAACCTTTTGCAGTTTTAAGATGGTTTGTAATTAATAGATGCAACTTTAAAAACTACCACATGGTTTGCTTATAAAGGAGGCTTTCTTTTCTAGGATTGGTAAAGCTTTCATACCACCTAGTTATAAAAATTTAGTATCAGATAAAATTAATTGGGTCTTAGCTGTACAAAACTAAAAAAGTATAAGTATTAAATATTTATTAATACATTTTACCTTAATTGTGCTTTTTAGTAGACTACAGTAAGTATTTGATTATTTGAGTAGGTTTTGCTCAAACAGATGCAGAAGTGTCACTTTTTAAACCACTGTCATTTTCATTTTAGTGACTAGCTTGAGGATAATATAATATCATCAAGAATTACTGTGTGTAGTTAAGTCAGCATTGTCTAATGTACAGTGGGCAGAAATTGTTAACATATTTAAGGCTCTAATTGTTGCATCATGAATTTTCCATGGATTTTATAATTAAACCTCTATGGGGCTTTTATGCTGTGGCACTATGTAAACTAATTCTGAGTCAGGCCACTCACCACTGTAGACCTGAATTTTCTTGAGTAAGCCCTCACTGTTTGCTTGGAAAGCCTGAACCATACATGCAGCCATGATGTCAGTTTATTAAACCAAACACATTTGGAGGGAAGGCTGATGCTCACACAGAGGTGGGTTTTTCAAGACTAACTCCTAAAATCATGACACAAATTTCTCATAAAGATAAATATACAAGGCCAAACTCTGCACTGAATTACAATGATTGCCATTTCCAGGATTAACTTTTGTGATAACAAAAGATTTACATATGTGAAAAGCTTGCTTCATTCAATTCCTACTCGCTGCTGAATGTTTGTGTTTTTAAAGTGTTCAGGATGACACATTCAGGAAATATAGTACTGTATTCTATCAGTGTATCACTTTCTGATTAATAATAACTGCTGTAATTAAGGTTGCATACTTCAGTTTTACCTTGCTTTTTCCATTTTCTGTACCTTTCAGACACTTTTGCCTATTGAACTATGGTTTACTGGTCCTGGTCTCTTCTTGAACACTGGTTCTTTGGAGCATAAGCCTGTGCAGAAACAAGTCAGAAATGTTAGAACCTTTGAGCCATGGATCATTTTTATGTTCTGTGTTTGCATTTCACCTGGCACACTGGGATTCTGATCCAGAGGTAGAACTGAGAAGTAGCACAGCAGCAGAAATAATAAAAGATGTGTTTTGGAATAGGAAAATGGGAAAAATTATCAGGATTTATAGACATACTATTGTCGGCCCTGACACACTGGAAATCCAGCACATCAGAGCAGACTTGGTTAATCGAGTCTGGGGAGCACACAAGCTGATGCACCCACACTGTATTGCATGCATTCTTCCAGCCCCATCAATGGCTGCCTCGCCCAGCCCCGCGTCCCTGCTCTTTAAAAAAAAAAAAAAAAAAAAATTGAAAAAAATAAAATGCCATGCACTCACCAGCTGCTGCCAGGTTGGGGGGGCAATCCCCGCTGCCCACCACTGCCCCACACTGCTTGGGGGGCTCTGCCATAAGCCCTCAGAAGCTCTGATGGCCACTGCAGGACCTGGTGAGTGCGGGGCTTTTTTTTAAAGAGCCGGGACGCTGGGGCCAGGTGGGGCAGCCATTGACAGGGCTGGGAGAGCAGGCAGGGGATGGGGGCTTGTGGCAGAGCCCCCCACGCAGCACAGGACAGTGGGGGGCAGCAGGGATTGCCTACCTGCCTGGCAGGAGCCAGTGAGTGCGGGGCTTTTTAAAGAACTGGGATGCTGGGGCCAGGTGGGGCAGCCATTGATGGGGCTGGGAGAGCAGGTGGGGGTCAGGGGGCACTCAGGGGGGCTTGGGAAGCAGGCAGGGGATGGGGCCTGGCAGGGGTCCCCCCATGACTCCCCGCTCCCCCCTCACCCCCTACTTACCGGCATAGAGCCTGGATCTAGCTCCCTGCAGTGGTGAGTGGGGACTTCCTGAATCTTCAGATATTTCTCTGAATCTTTTCCAAATCGATTTGGAGGCTTTGAATTGAATTCGGACCTTTTTATTGGTCCCCCGATTCGATTCAGATTCGGAGATTCAGCTGCCAAATTGGGCCACATCTCCTCCAAAACGAATCAGCACCCAAAGCTTTACACAGCCCTAATATAGACCACTCAGTGACCAAGTATGCATCTAAAATTATCTTCATCCTTAACAGCATCATTTTCTGCGCTATATCATAGGCAGAATTTACTGACGGTTGAAAAGAAAATATGTCACATGCGAGTGCTGATAGAATTATCAGTGTGCATAAAAAGTTGCAATATAAAATCAATAGAGATAAATTTACTATTATAAGGTAATTACTGTACATAAAAAGGAACAGAAAAAGGTTTCAAGGTACTACATGTTCATCCAGAGTTGCAGGAAAACAGTATGTCATATTTTCTCACATACTACATGCTGCCTCTTCCCTCCCCTCCCCACACAAACCAGTCGCACATTGGGATTCATGTATTAAGTGGGGAAGCTGATTTTCTGATGATAGAAGCACCTGGCTTTGATTCCTACTCTACAGTGTGGTAGCTGTGACATTACCATTCAGGCATTTGGGGGAGTCAGTTGACTCTAACATTATTCTTCTCTTCATAGTTGTTAATGAACATCTCTCCTTTTTAATTGTCTTGATGTTCTGTTAATCACGCTAAACTTTCTTAGGACAGTTTTGCTGTTTGTCTGGTCTCCCTCCCATTTCACAGCCTTGGAAATGCTGTTTCAAAAACAGGTTAACCCATGAATAACAGACTTCAGCAGTAGCTATGGTTTCAGCTTTAATTAAGCAGGAAAGGAAGGGTGAATCAGTTAAAGATGTGCTCTGTCCATGCTCTATGCAATCATAACTCTTGAAACATCCTTTTTTCTTCATTCTGCCTTCTAAATTAGGTGTATTATATTGTGGGGCATGTTGTATGTGAAAGTGCAATATATTAAATTATTACTTGAGAAATGGTATGTGATCACATAATTAAAGAGGCTGGATAAGGCCTCCATCTCTTTTAAGTTGGTATAGTTCCAGTGGTAAAACACTTTAGCCAAAGTTTCCAAATAGAGATGAATAAAACTAGATACCTGTACCCGTATTTAAGCACCTAAATTCAAATGGACTGTTTTTTAGAGCTTAGTACCTAAAACGCCCATGGACATTATAGAGAGCTGTTAATAGCCAAGGTGTCTCAAAATCTGGCTACTTCTTTTAAATGTCATTATTTAAAGTTAAGTGCTTAAAGTTATCTTGATGATATTTATAATTGTAACCATGTATATAACCTGATAAAACACTGTTCTGTTTCCTGGATGGTATTTGCCCTCCTCTTGCCACCCTGGTGGAAACTTCCCTGCTATGATCAAAGGCATTCACAGGTTATAGATCATGAAGCCTGCATCCAGCAGGCATAACTTTATATTTTATGTCAGGACTAGACTCTCGTTATTACTTTGCTATTAACTTTATACTATACAGGAAGTATCTCAGAGACAGAGGGATCTATCTTTTTGGCATTTATCTGCCTCTGTGGCACAAACAATCACAAATGATTCTTTAGTAGAAAAATTATCTGTGTCTTATATTTGTTTCAAAGAAAATGGCACAGTCCACCTTTTCACTGTGGTCTTTGTGCTTATGTGGGTTTCATGGTATTCTTTTCCAGTGCACAACTTTATCTCACTTCTAAGCTGCGCACACCACACTTTGTATCTATATTTCTCTTGTGTATCACTGGTTGACATGGTTTTCCCTGAGCACAGAATGCTCGAGCAAATTACAATCAGGTTTGAAGAGGCTAGGTATCAAAAATGGTCTAAATGGCTTAAATAATTCCCTGCTGCAATACAAACTGTCTAGGGGGCTGACACAAAACATCTCCCAATCCAAGATTTACTTTTATCACCTGTCAGAGACCCTTGATTCAAGGGCAAAGGAGCAAATCCTCGCATGTAGTTGAGAAGTCTTGTCCAGCTTAATAAGCCTTCCCTTCCCCCAGCCTCAAGGCATGAGATATATTGGTATCCATGAGGAACGTTCAGCATATTTGACAGATGTTTGACACGAGGGACGACTGACTCCAGGACTTACAACTTATCCGTTTGCTTCTGCTCCTTTATTCTTTATTCTGCTCCTTTTTTCTTTAGGCAAGATTTTGCTACACACATGAAATAATACCCAACTGTGTCTAGTCTCATTTTCTTCAGGGTGATTACTTGGAGAGTGAAAGTGCTATTCAACATGTGGAGGATGGCAGAATCTGGCCCTTTGTCTCTTACAGAGCAGAACATCTTGAGCATTCAGTCTAGAAAACAGAGAATACTGTTCAGAAGTTAAATGTTTTTATTATTTTTATTTATGTGTGTGTGTGTGTGTGTGTGTGTGTGTGTGTATATATATATATATATATATTCATGATAAACAGGAAATAAAAATGATTAGTCTTAACAAGTGACAGTGAATGCTTTCCCCTGTTGCAAATATGATACAACACCACACAAGACCTCTTTGATATTGATATACTTCATGGTGAACTAACATGTATGTTTGCATGACAGT